TCCAGTTGGACATTATCTTGAAAGGACTCCCGAAGGCAAGCAAAGGAAATGTGCGGTCTGCAAATCGAATGTAAGAAAACAGTGTTCTAAATGTAATGTTGGTTTACATGTAGAATGTGTAGTTGCTTGGCATTCAAACTAATTGCTTTTTGTCAATATTTTGTAATAAAAATATACCTTGCACTAACCTTGTACTTATGTTATTATTAAGCATAGTATATGCCATGATCCCCAATTGGGGATCCACGATAAAAAACGTCAAAAAATGACAGATTTTATAAATACATACCAATGGAGTCTATTTTTGTCAAATAATTATACATCAGTATTCAAAAAATCGATATTAGCAAGAAAAGAAAAATTGGCAGTTAATGGGTTAAATATAATGAAACTGATCGATAAATAAAAAAAGAATAAAAGAAGCTAAGAAGAGCTTACATGAGCAGTGCCAAGAACTATAAGAATTAAAAAAAAATATGACTTTTTTAACATCCACAAAAGAATTAGAGAACAGATATAAACCATAAAATGCAGAGATGAAGCACAACTTTTTGAAGACAAAGAGAGAACAGAAGCACCAAAAGAATTTAAGGATGATACTGGGCCCGACATTATACAAGAAGAAATTGAATATGCAATGAAATAAGCTAATGGTGATAAATCTCCCGGGGCTGATAAAATTCATCATTTCGTGATCTATTCAATACCATATATAGAACAGGAATAATACCTAAAGAATGACTCCAATCAACATTCACACTGCTTCTCAAAAAAGCCAATGCAAAGGAATGCAATGAACATCGTACCATAGCCTTGAGTGTCATGTCATGTGAGTCATGTCTTAAAAAAATTTTTAAAAGTAATTTACAATAGAGTACATAAGAGATTAGATTAAGGCATAAGTAATAAACACATAGTATTTAGGAAAGGACAGGGAACACGAGATGCACTGTTTGCAGTAAGTGTTCTTTCGCAGAGATGCTAAGATATAAATCAGGAAGTATATGCCTGTTTTATTGATTTTGAGAAGGCATTTGGCAGAGTGCAGCATAACCGGCTTAAAGACATTTTATTTAGAAAAACATAGACAGTTTTGGAAGGTACAAACCTATAAACCAAAAAAGAAAGATATGTGTCTACTGTCACTTTATCTATTTACGATAAACCACAAAGTAGGCGATGCCTGGTGGTAGATTTCAAAAGCATCCACTTCGGGAAAACATTGAAATTGTCATTATTTTGTATACACATTAGCGATCGGTTTATATTGTAATTAACAATACCTTCGACTTCAAAAAATTATTGCAGTGTTTCTCAATGTTCATCCTAATATAATTCACAAAAAAATTCCATACATTAGTTTCCGCTGGACGAGAATATGAGAAAAGTTTGGCAATGCATTTTGTGAATTGGCAAACATATAACCAAGTACGTGACTGTGCACAGTTTACATTTTACTTTCCAAGTGTTGATTAAAATATTATTTATATTTTAATATATTTATGCTTAAATTACTTTATAGTAACACCTGAAACTAAATTAAGAAGACTGAAGATAAATGCTGTTCCATCAGCTTAATTGCCCCAACGGTTTCATGAAGTTATTAGTAGAAAACGTAAGGCGTAATTTACAAAATATAACGTGACCAGCTCCAAAAACTGCCTCACCCTCAACTAAAGGTCTCTGCCAATCTTGCAACTATATAAATAATTAAGATAATGTAAATTGCACTTCCCGTGTTTCAGACATACTGTAGAAAAACAAACATTGAACTTTATTTTAATTTAGGTTTGGGAGTCAATTATCGTGTTTATAAACTCATATCACAAACAAATAAACTTTGAAGAACGTACTACAACTTTTACTTTGGCAAAACAAACGTGTAAATGATTTATATTAAACGTTTTATACCTTAGAGATCAAATGACAAAATGATTTGTTTTCCCGAAGTTATCGTCCATCTTTAAAATTTTCAGCGCCCCCTGTCGGAATTGGCTATCGCGAATAGAAATTAGATTTATTTTAAATCTAAAGCAGAGTCACTGTATACCTCTAGTATTTTTATTATATAATACTAGTAGGTCTTCAACGCAAAGATAGGGAAAGAAGACACGAACAGAGAAATCGCAGGAAAAGAAACAATCCATCACAATACGAATAGCAATGGCAGGAGAATATGTAATCTAGCAGCAGCAACCAATACTTTTATTATTAGCACTCAATTCAAGCACAAAAAAGAGCACAAAGTAACGTGGCTAATACCTGGAACAACAGATGGAAACCAAATAGACCACATCCTAATCTCAAAAAAATGGAGAACAATTTTTCAGAATGTAAGGTCTTACAGGGGAGCCAATGCTGATTCGGATCACATTTTGGTGATAGGCGACATGAAATTGAAGATACTTAAAGATAAAAACGACAGAAAAAAAAGAAAGAGGTGGAATCGGTCGAAACTAAATACAGATAATGCAAACAGAAAATTCTGCACTAAATTGGAAGAAAAACTACTAGTCCTAAAACCATCGAGCATAGATAAAACATGGGAAGACATAAAAGATAGTATCTTAACAACAGCAGAGGAGACGATAGGACTAATGAAAAACAATAAAAGAAAGGATTGGTACGATGAAGAATGCGAGCAAGCTAGTAAAAACAAGGACAAAGCAAGACACAGGTGGGTGGCCACACGGAAACAAGAAGATCTCCTACACTATAAAAAGAAGAAGAAAGAGTCAGACAAATGCTGCAAAAGAAAAAAGAAGAAATGGATCGAAGAATTACTGCAGGAACTCGAAGCCAATAGTAATGATAATGCAAGACTATACAAATACATAAAATCACAGAGAAAAAAAGAGATACCAGCAAATATTGGAAAAATAGAATGGGAAACACACTATAGAGAACTGTTTAAAAAGAAAGACGATGCTGAAAACGCAGAAAATGAAGAACAAACAGAAAATAGGAATGGAGAACAAACAGAGCCTCCCTCATACAGCGATATATTGGCGACTATAAACAGATTAAAGACAAGGAAATCAGCAGGACCAGACGATATTATAAATGAGTTCTTTAAGAATGGGGGAGAGGAACTAGCCCACAGAATCCACAACCTAATAGAACGAATATGGGAAGAAGAAAGCATGCCGAACGACTGGAATTGTGGTCTGATAACACCAATCCCTAAAAAAGGCGACAAGACGAAATGCACTAACTACAGGGGAATCACGTTATTAAATACAATGTACAAAATATTAACTAATTTGATCAGACAAAGAATAGAAAAAGAAACTACAACAAAAATAGGTGAATACCAACATGGATTCAGAGAAGGTAAGTCAACAATAGATGCAATACACATTGTAACGCAAATAGTCGAAAAAAGTTACGAGCACGGAATAGATCTACATATACTGTTTATTGACTACAAGCAAGCTTTTGACAGTGTAATAAGGGAGGAGCTAATTAAGGATATGAATCAATTAGGCATCCAAGAAAAATTAATAAGTCTCACGAAAATGACGATGAAGGAATCCAAGGCACGAATCTTAACAAAGGAAGGCCCGTCAGATGAAGTACAAATGGAGGTAGGTGTCAGACAGAGAGACTCCCTGTCAACAACATTATTTAACATTGCCATAGAGGGCGCAGTAAGAGCAGCCAAAATTATGGGAACGATTATCGAATCTTCAGCCCAACTGATTGCGTATGCAGACGATATTGCACTGGTTACTAGAGATTTAAAAACCATGCAGAACATAATATTAATACTAGATAAAGAAGCAAAGAAGAGAGGGCTAGTAATAAACCAAAGCAAAACGAAATACCTCAAGTGTTCAAGAGAGAATACGAATATAGAGAAAGAAATTAAGCTTGGTGCATATACATTTGAAAGAGTACACCGTTTCAAATACCTGGGAGTGATGGTAAATGACAGAAATGATAGAACAGATGAAATAAATGAACGCATCCTACTGGGTAAAAAAACCTACTGGAACTACCAAAAATTCTTGAAAGAAAAACACATTAGTAAGAAAACCAAATTAAAAATTTACAAGACTGCAATCAGGCCAGTGATCACCTATGGTGCAGAGACGATGTGCCTAACACAAAAAGATGAAATGAGGTTAGAAATCTTAGAGAGAAAGATAATTCGACGAATAATGGGGCCGGTGAGGATAAGTGTAGGCGAATTTAGAAGATTAACCAATGAAGAAATTAAAGAAGTCATCGAGGGTGAAGACATAATCAAGTTCGATAAGACGCAAAGGCTCAGGTGGCTGGGGCACACAGAAAGAGCTAACCCAGACTCTACGCTAAAGCGAATAACTGGATGGAGACCAACAACAAAGAGACCAAAGGGGAGACCCAAAACAAGATGGAGAGATCAAGTCTTAGGAGACATAAAGGAGCTGAGAATCTACAATTGAAAGGAGCGCTGTAAGGACCGGAAAGAATGGAGGAAAATTGTAGACAGGGCCAAGTCACACACGCTGCTATAATAATAAAAAAAAACAACAGCGGACTGATTCTCCGCAATAAATGAATCAGAGAGCCCAAAAGGGCGGCAAACACTCCGCCAGGAGTGATTAAGCCATGATGATGATGACTAGTAGGTAGTAGTAATCTTGGTAGGTAGAGAGAGTTGGTAAGATTGGTCAGTTAGAGAGTAAACTGAGGGGTTTTAAACCAAAAAAAGTAGGAATTTATAGCTATTGAATTCTAATAAAGTTTATTCTTGAAGTTCAGACGATATGAAATCGATAATCCTTTAGTTGTATACTAGTTATTATTCACACAAAATAACTAATAACACAAAAAGACAAATATATGAAGACGCTAACTAAAGGAAGCACCTTAAAAAACGCAATACTCCTTAAATCCTCCATTATATATAGAAAAGTCTACTATTGTACTCATTTTACCAATATTCTTTACTAATTTACTTCCATTTTGTGTTATATATTTAATTTGGATTTAATTAATTTTTTTTATTTCAGATGACATTGAAGACATTGCTTCTTTTAGTGATCATTGTAAGTTTTATAAACAGAAGCTTCCAAATATGTGCTACAACGACTGCTATCACTACTTGTCGTCAAATACATCTATATAAAACAAACCCTCTAACAATAAATAAATATAAAGATATACTGGAGATTTCTCTAGATGATCAAAGTGATACAATCTATAGTAATGCGTTTAACTCACTGGCTGAATTAAAACGTTTATTTTTAAGCAACAACAAGATAAAAAATTTGGAATCAGGTAGCTTTGACCGTCTTAGTAAATTGGAAGAATTATCTTTGTATAATAATTTGTTAACAACTATTGTTAGTGGGGCATTTCGTGATCTTCATAACCTAAAAATACTTAATTTGGGTGCCAATAAGATAACATCGATTCCTAATAAAGCTTTTGTTGGATTAGATAACTTGGAAGTAATAAATTTAAGTTTCAACCAACTAGCTGAGGTTCCTGTTCATATAAATACTATTAAGACACTTCGAGTTTTACATTTAAATGACAATAAACTACGAAATCTTAAAGCTAGTTCTTTTAATAATTTAAACAAGCTGGAAAAATTGCATCTCTATGATAATAGCATAGATTCTTTAGAAGCTAAGTCATTTGCCGGACTACGCAATCTTAAGGAATTAAATCTTAAGGCAAATTATTTGAAGCAGTTTAATACACAAGACGCTTTGGCAGACTTAGGTTCCCTGCAAATATTGAATCTCGCTATTAACAACTTTAGGTGTCCTGATTTGAAAAATATTGACAAAGAGTTGCAAAGAAAGAGGATCGCATTTGTGGAAGGTACAAATAAACAAAATACAAATAATTACAAAGGCATCAAATGCAATGCTTAATAATAATACCTAATTATTAATAGTATATAGTCAATTATCGTCAAAAATTGTAAAAAAAGTCGCCGTCAATCAGAAGACGGTTCTTACATGACTTTTTTTATATAATATCTTTCATGTAATTAAATATTTTTCTGTTTTATTATTATTTTATTTTGCATGTATTTGTTGTTGCTAGTTATAATTTGTTTCGTAGAGTTTAAAAAAGCGTAAAAAATGGTGAAAAAACCAGACCATTATGGTTATGAGCATCTGTAGTGTTATAAAGAATTGTTGTAGTGTTAAGAAGAATTTCTTATGAACCTCAGTTAAGTACCAGACGTTTATCAACATTAAATGGAATAAGCCATGCTTGAGTTTTTCGAATATTAAAAAAAGAATAATTAAGACCTTAAAGGCATTACCATTTTATTCCAGTGCAGGAGTTGCTACCGATATTCCTCGACAAATGAAATTTGCACAATTTGTTATGGATAGGGTCTCGCTGGCCTGAACCCTCGGGAACGAGGAAAGGTGCTCCAGCCGCAATACCCATAGCTGAAATGGACCGGAGCAGGTAACAGTCACGGTCCGTGGACATATAGATTGTATATTCCGTGGACATATAGATTATATATATATACGGGGAAAATACCTTTTTAAACAAATGCAAACGAATGTTAACTAAAACTAAGAATCTGCAAGTAAAGTGCTAATTAGTCTTAGCACTAAGAATTAGTGCACTTAGCACATAAGAAAAAGTTATTTCGAAAAAAAGTGAAATTTCTTCGAAGTCGATTTAGTCCAAAATGTGATAGAAGATATTCATCGTGGTGACTTCGGGACAAATTAACAAACAAACAAACAAAATCATATAAAGAAATATCGATACAAAGTAAGTTATTCGAAATTATCGACTATCGAAGATGATGAGACCTAAAAATGTTGAAAAATATTCTAAGATATTTTTATACCAAAATATTTCAAAGTCAATAAAAAGAAATAAAATATTAGAAATATTTCAGAGTCCCTAAACGAGAATAAATATTAGAAAAATTACCTAAGCTATTTTATATCCGAAAATATTTCAAAGTCCCCAAAGACAAATAGAATATTAGTCTTGCTAGAGAACTAAGAAAAATCCTGAAATAAGAGGATAGCGGTTGGATGCAACAAAAAGAGCAGAGTTTCTGAGAACTAAATCTACCAGAAGGCCTCTGGTGCCAAGATGGCTAGTTCTGCGGATCCCTGTCCAGACCAGAACAAATTTTTGGTTGTCGTGCACCTACACTTATGTGAAATTAAGTAGGTCAAGTGCTCCATGGCGCTTTTCCATTGGAGTTTGCACGACAGTCAATACTCAATTTCGGGCAATACCATTAGCTGCAATTATGGTTGCAATTCGACTAATCGTAAATCCGAAATTGAGCTATTGGCGACAAGGGCAGATGCAACAAACAACAAAAAGCTTTTTTTTTGTTGAATAAGTGTCTAACAGATAAAAGAATAGCCAGTCTGTGGAAAAATGCCGAAATAATACTTTTACTCAAGAAATTAAACACCACCAATATTGTAAACTACAGCCCCATAAGTTTGTTGTCACACTTATACAAATTGCTAACAAGGATAATAACCAATCGCATAACACAAAAAATTCATTTACATCAACCTGTTGAACAGGCGGGATTTAGAAAAGGGGTTTTGTACTAACGATCACTTACAAGCCATTAGAACACTGGTAGAAAAAAAACAGAAAATATAATGTACCTGTACATATGGCATTTATTGACTTTCACAAGGCTTTCGATAGTATTGAAACTTGGTCCATTTGTCAGCCCTGAGAGATGCTCGGATATATTCATGGTACACCACACTTAAATTACACTTACATTAAAAACATTTATGGACAGGCCACATTCCACATCAAAATCAATGAAGACAAAAAAACTGAAAAAATGCGTCTTGGTAAAGGTATTAGACAAGATGATACTATTTCACCAAAGTTTTTTACCTTAGCATTGGAAAATGTATTTAAACCGCTCGACTGGGAGCAAAAATGTCTAAAAATTAATTGATGATGTGATGTAATTTGAGTCATGTGAGTTTTATGGACGACATAGTGTTATTTAGTATATATTAAGAAACTGAAGCAAATGCTTAAGGAATTAAATCGGCATTCAAATAAAGTAGGTCTCAAAATGAACCTTCAGAAAACAAAAATATTGAGTAATTTAGTAACTTGTCAGTAACTTCTAGTTATTATTATTATTATCCCAGATTTAGCCATACGGCTCACACTCCCTCTAAGGGGAAAATTCACTCATCCCAGATACCTACGGTATCAAAAGGATTGAGCTCTGGTGGGACTCTTTCCGTGTTATCGAGCCCTAGGTGACTTGGTATGTCGGAGTATCTCCCAGAAATTTTCGTACACATCTGGAGGTCGCGAGGAGTACGGCTTTCTGCATGGCCTTATAAAGATGTTCTTTTAGACCCAGCTGTTTAATGTTCGCTAGGAGGTTTTTGGGAATAACACCAGTAGTAGATAGAACAATAGGTACTGTCTAGGTACTTTCCATTCTCCATTGTCTCTTGATTTGTATTTCCAGATCTCTATACTTGGCGATCTTTTCATTGTATTTAACAAGCAAATTGTTAGTGTTAGGTATCGCCACATCAATAAGTGTTGTTTGCCTGGTAATTTTATTCACTAGTATGAGATCCGGTCTATTATGGGCCACTGGTTGGTCTGTGAGCACAGTGCACATTATTATTATTATTATTATTATTATTATTATTATTATTATATAAGAAATAAGGGCAGAGGAGCAAGCTCCTATTATGCCCAAAAAGCAAAAATAAACAAAAATAAAATAGATCCTTATAAAACTAATACTAATTATAAAGTTAAGTAGTTAAATAATTAACGCAAATTGAAATTGTGACACAATAAATAAATAAATAATGCTGTCCGAGAAAAAATATCCTATCCTATAAAAAAAATAAAGTTCTATCAAGTTTATTTTTAAAGATGTTAACACTAGCTGCCGATATGGTGTCTTGATCCAAATTGTTCCAGATATTAAAGATTCTGTTTGGCAAGAAGTTCGCCCTGGACCTTGCAGTAGTTTGTTCTCTCTTTAATTTGTATCGATGGCCTCTTAATCTATCGTCTTCATTCAAAGTGAATATGTTGTTTAGGTTCCCAAAATTATGTTTTAAAATAGGGAAGGACATAATTAGGTCACCTCGAAGACGTCGCTGCTCGAATGTCGTAAGATGAGCCATGAATAGTCTATCTTTATAATTAGGTCTTACACGGCCGTATGCCAGTCTTGTGGCTTTACGCTGAACGTTTTCAAGTAGGATTTTATCGCGACTAAGATCTGGATTCCACACTGGTCCGGCAAACTCAAGAATAGGTCTAACGTATATTAAGTAAAGTTTACTAACAGAGGTTAGAGATATGCGTGCAAAACACTTACGAATCAAAAACAGTTTCGAGTTAGCACGTTTACACACCGACACTATGTGATCAGACCAATTTAAGTCACTATTAATTATCACTCCGAGATCGTTGTGTGAGGTTACAGAGTTTAAAGGATGTCCATTAATAAAGTACGGAAGTGATGGGTTATTTTTGCCCATATGTAAAACAACGCATTTTTCAATGTTAAGCGGAAGTAACCATTCTGAGGACCATTTGAATATTGCGTCAAGATCTTGTTGAAGAATATGTTGGTTAATAGTTGGATTCACATATAACTAAATATAAGTTACTGACAAGTTACTAAATTACTCAAGATAGAGTTACAGATACAACTCTAGATACAGTTCAGTATCTTGTCTGTAACTACATATGGACTGGAGACCATGGCCTTTAAAAAGAAAACCTTTGAGTAGCTCCGTAGAATCCAAAGAGAGATGTAGAGGGCCATGCTACGGATTAGTTTGAGAGATACGATTCGAAATATTGACATTCGGGAAAAAACAAGGGTTACTGCTGAACGAATAGCAAGACTCAAGTGGCAATGGGTCGGACATGTTTCCTGAGATAATCTCAAAAAATGGACACAAGTATTAACAAACTGAAGAATAAGAGAGAACAGGCGAGAAGTAGGCAGACCACAGAAGAGGTGGGCAAATGATATCAAACAAGTCGCGGACAAGCAGTGCATGAGAATTGCCAAGAGTAGAAATCAATGGAAGCAAATGAAAGAGGCCTATGTCCATCAGTGGACGAATACAGGCTGAGGAAGAAGAAGAAGAGGGCAGATGCAAATAACAATTTCCTTAGCAATATACTTTTTACTGATAAAGCCACTTTTATAGGTAAAGGCGGCTACAACTGGAGAAATTTTCAAATATGGGATAACGAAAATCTACATGCTGTCAGAGAAACATACTTTCAACATGAACTATGAATAAATGTTTAGTGTGGATTTTTTAGATTAATTTAATAGTTCCTTTTAAATTGCCTGCAAAACTTAACGGCAAGTCGTATTTAAAATTACTTTAAAATATCCTTTTTAATTAATTAAAAGAGTTACCATCAAACAAAAGAAGATATATATCTGGTTTATTCAAGATGGCGCCCATCACATTTTCCCTTGGTGGTGCGACATTATTGTTATTATGATTGGGCGTCTTTCGATTATTTTATTTTCACAAGTCCACCAATTCCCAATTATTGTTTTGTGCTTGGATATACAGTTCCGCCATACTTTTGAAGTTAAAATTGAAAGTGATTTTGGCCAAGTTTCTCAAACCGCTTCTTCAGTATAACTATTACGCCCACCATGGTTCTTACAATATTGTGCTACTGCAATGTTCTACATACGAAAAAGGGTAGGTATCTTTATAAATTTAAGTTAGTCGTTTAGTCTCTGTGTAGGGTTTCGCATTCTCTTCAGGGTTCGATTCAAATTCACTGAATTTGTATTTTTCATACAAAGCATAACTCAAAGGTACTACTGGGGTCGTTCTTTTAGCGTAAAGTGAAGCACAAATATAGGCTGTTGAGA